TCCTTGCAGCGCTGATGTCCGTGAAGGAGATGGCAAAGGGCATCACGTACGACGACCCCATTAAAACCAGGTGCGTTCCTGGGGAAGGAGCTGCCGCGGGGACTCCCGCAGCCTCCTTGCACCCCAGCTCTGCCACGGGCCCGCCGCGTGACGCCCACGCAGACCCGGAGGCCAGGCGGGACCGAGCGGGGCGCGGGCGTGGGGAGGTGCTCCCGCCCCGCCCCGGTGAGGAGCCGTGTGCCATGCAGCAGAGGAAGGCGACAGGCTGCCCCTTCCCCGCTGCTCTGGCGCCGCGTTGCAGGGCAGGCGGGAGCTGCAACCAGCCAAGGGCGGAGCGGGGAGTCGCAGGCACGGTGCAGGGCCTGGACTTGGCCGTGGGCTCCCCGGTCACTGGCTTGCACGAGGGGAAGGTCCCTTGTGGGCTGGGGTCTGTTCTGGGGGAGTTGGGGGCGCTGCTTTGACTTAGCGCGGTGCCCCCAGGGGCAAGGGGGAGCGCTGAGTGGCTCTGCTCCGGGCTGACCCCTCTGTGTCCCGGTCAGCTGGCGGGCACCGCGCCACATCTTGGGCATGTCGGAGGCGCGGCACGAGCGCGTGCGCAAGAAGTTTCACATCCTGGTGGAGGGTGAGGGCATCCCACCGCCCATCAAGAGCTTCAAGGAGATGAAGTTCCCTGCAGGTGATGCGGGGAGGGGGCGTTGCTGGGGCGGGGCACAGGTGTGCAGTGGGGTGCAGACCAATGCAGAGCTCCCCTAGCCAGGTTGCAGGTCGCGAGGAGAGCGTGGCTTCGTGCCCCCAGTTCTCTGTCTGCTGGCCGGGGGCCTGGGTGGATGCGTGTTGCTGGCCCAAGGTGGCACGGGGTCCGGTGGAGGGGCCACAGTGCCGTGGTGCTGACCCCTCCCTGTTGTCACGTGCACAGCCATCCTGCGGGGCCTGAAGAAGAAGGGGATCCAGCAGCCGACACCCATCCAGATCCAGGGCATCCCCACCATGTGAGTGCTCGGCCCAGCCGCGGTGCTGCTTCGTTCCCTGCCCAGTGGTGTGGGTGGGGCAGCCGGCCGCTGCCAGCGCCCCGGCTAGCTGGCTGGCAGGGCGTGCTCGGCCCTGGGCTGACCCTGCCCCTGCGTTTCCGGCAGCCTCTCTGGCAGGGACATGATTGGCATTGCGTTCACCGGTTCCGGGAAGACTCTGGTGTTCACCCTCCCGGTTATTATGTTCTGCCTGGAGCAGGAGAAGAGGTTGCCGTTCTCCAAGAGGGAAGGGCCCTATGGGCTCATCATCTGCCCCTCGGTGAGCACGCGTGCCCCCACTGCCGGGTCATGATGAAGGGATATGGGCACCAGCGCACGAGAGCTGTCAGGGTGGGCCAGCTGCAACAGGCCTGGGGTGGGGCCGGGGAGGCAGGTGTTGGTGCCGGCCAGCTGGGAGCCTTGTCTTTGGGGTGACAGACTGTTGTCTGCAGCGGGAGCTGGCCCGGCAGACCCATGGCATCCTGGAGTACTACTGCCGCCTGCTGCAGGAGGATGGGCTGCCCCCACTGCGCTGCGCTCTCTGCATTGGGGGCATGTCCGTCAAGGAACAGATGGAGACCATCAAGCAGTAAGTCCTGTTCGCCGGCTGGTCAAGGCAGCACCACCAGAGCTCTGCTCTGCTCCCCGGGCCTGGCACCAAGGGAGAAGATCGCATGCAGCAGCCAGCTATCCCAGGCCTGGCTGGGCGGTTGCCTTGAGCCTGGGGGAGGGCACTTGGCCTGAGCTTGCGGGATGGGCACATGGGAGGCCACACAGCACAGTTGCTTCCTGCCCTGTGCTTGTTTTCTGCCTGCAGTGGCGTGCACATGATGGTGGCCACGCCCGGGCGCCTCATGGATCTGCTGCAGAAGAAGATGGTGAGCCTGGACATCTGCCGCTACCTGGCGCTGGATGAGGCTGACCGCATGATCGACATGGGCTTTGAGGGAGATATCCGCACCATCTTCTCCTACTTCAAGGTACCAGCGGGGAAACCAGTGAGCATGGGCTCCTGCCCCCGGGGCCTGCTGCCAGCAGAATGCCCTCCCATGCTCTGAGTGCTGCGCAGTTTCAGGCCACCTCCTGGCTGTCCGAGGGGGTGGTGGTGCTATGGCTGGATTTCCTGTGGCCTGGGCAGACTCCTGCTGGCTGCCACAGTGGCTAGCAGCTCAGGCGCCTCAGCCCTAGGGCTCTGCCCTGTCCTGGGCCTGTGGTTCTTTGTGGCCCCCATGGTTGCCGGGCTTCCCACTTGCCACACCTGGCTTCCGGCCCACGGGGCACAGCCACTGGCATGAGTGCTGCTAAAGTAGGCGCATGGGACTCGCGGAGTAACATTGGGTCATGTTCATCCGCCTGACGTGCTTGCAGGGCCAGCGGCAGACCCTCCTCTTCAGCGCCACCATGCCCAAGAAGATCCAGAATTTTGCCAAGAGTGCCCTGGTGAAGCCCATCACCATCAACGTGGGGCGAGCGGGAGCAGCCAGCCTGGATGTCGTGCAGGTGAGGGCCTGGAGGGGGTGTTTGCATGGGGAGGGGACACCCACACAGGCAGGCTCCTGGGGTCTGAGTGTCCCTAACCTTTCCCTGCTGAGGGCTCAGGGCACAGCAGCCGGGTCACAGGTGCTCTGCTCTGACCTTTGCCACATGCCCATGCGCAGGAGGTAGAGTACGTGAAGGAGGAGGCCAAGATGGTGTACCTGCTTGAGTGCCTGCAGAAAACTCCACCGCCCGTGAGTTCCACACTGCAGCTGCTCGGGGCTTGGGAAACCTGTGGGTGATGGGAGCTGCTTGGGCAGCATGGGAGAGGCTTCTGGCACTGTCACTGCTGTCAGCCCCTGGGCTGGGGCAGGAGGGCCCACGAGCCTGCACCTAAGAACCGTCTCTCCAGGACCCAGTGGGGGTTGGGGAGGGAGAGAGGGCAGCGCTGGCACCTGGCCAGCCAGGTGGGGCCCTGGCTCCCTCCAGCAGAGGCTGGGCCTGTGGCCCCTGACGCCAGCTCCTGCGGCAGGTGTTGATCTTTGCGGAGAAGAAGGCAGACGTCGACGCGATCCATGAGTACCTGCTGCTCAAGGGTGTGGAGGCCGTAGCCATACATGGAGGGAAAGGTCAGCGCAAGTGGTGGGGCGATGTCCACCGTGTGCACCCGTGGGGCCACGTGCAGCCTGCAGAGTGCTTCCCCGTGCAATGGGAGCTGCCCACATGCCCTTGCAGGGCACGTGCTGGGCTCGCCACATGGGCAAGCCCTGGGCAAAGACAGTTGGGCTCAATTCCCATGTCTGGGCATGGCCCATGCACCGGGCCCCACAGCCAGCGTCAGTGCAGGGGGTGGGGGTGTTGCACTCACAGGGTATGGTCCCCACTAACTGCTGGCGCCGGCCCCACAGACCAAGAAGAGCGGACAAAAGCCATCGAGGCCTTCCGGGACGGGAAGAAGGATGTCCTGGTTGCCACGGACGTGGCCTCCAAGGGCCTGGACTTCCCGGCTATCCAGCACGTCATCAACTATGACATGCCAGAGGAGATCGAGAACTATGGTGGGTAGGTGTTCTGGGCCTTCCTGTGGGTCCCACCGGGTGTGAGCAGCTTGCTGTGCCGGCACTGTGATGGGGTGGAGGAGGGACACTTGGTGCTGGGCTTGGTTCCCAGGTGGTGGGAGATGGGGGTCCATGTTCAGGCTCCTGCTTTGGTCCCCTGGCCCTGACCACACCCGTCTTCCCACAGTGCACCGCATTGGGCGTACGGGCCGCTCGGGGAACACGGGCATCGCCACCACCTTCATCAACAAAGCCTGCGGTGAGGAGCATGGGGGGTGGTCTGCTGGGCTGGGGCACACTGAGCTGGGCAGGGTGTCCTCCACTGACCCCGTGTGCATTGCCAAGCCAGTGATGGGGTAGTGCCAGGTGGGTACTGGTGGAGCCATGAGGAGCCCAGTGGCTGAGGCTGTGTTGGCCCGGGGTCGGGATGGGGAGGGTGCTCCTCTTCTGTGGTCAAGCTGCCCTGTGCCCCACACCGTGAGGTGCTGCACTATGGGGGGGCGCTGTGCTATCCTTCCCACCTGGGGCCCTGCTCTGCCCCACAGCCTTGTGTTCAGTGTGCCCTGCGCTGCAGGCTCCTTCTGGCATCTGTGCCTGGAGCCTGTGCTGAGCTGCCCCTTTGCCCCCAGACGAGTCGGTGCTCATGGACCTGAAGGCGCTGCTGCTGGAGGCCAAGCAGAAGGTACCACCTGTGCTCCAGGTGCTGCACTGCGGGGACGAGACCATGCTGGACATCGGAGGTGAGAGGCTGGGGGGAGGTGGCACTTCTGCTGCCGTTCTGGCCCTAGGAAGGGCTGGGTCCTGTCCAGGAAAGGGGGCACTGAGGCAGGGGAGGGCGAGAGCAGCTGCTGGTTGCTTGAGCCGCGCGCTCTGGCAGTGGCTGCGCTTCTGGGGCTGTTACTCTCCCAAGAGCTGCGGGAGCTCCCCCATTCCAGGCAGTGCCCTGTCCCTGCCCGAGCTCACTCATCCTTCTTCCTGTCACAGGGGAGAGGGGCTGTGCCTTCTGCGGGGGACTGGGCCATCGCATCACAGACTGCCCCAAGCTGGAAGCCATGCAGACCAAGCAAGTCAGCAACATCGGCCGCAAAGACTACCTGGCCCACAGCTCCATGGACTTCTAGGGCTGCCCGCCGGGCACCAGCCCCTGCCCAGATGCTGTGAAGGGTGGGGGAAGGGGAAGGTGGCTGCTCCCTGGGCAAGTGCCAGTCGCACCAGGAAGGCCATGTTAGCGCCAGGCGGCTGGTCCCTGCATCTCAGGCAGCCACGCCACGGCCTGCTCCAGGCCCCTGGTGCATGCTGCCCATTCCCTGCTGCTCCAGAGCCGGGCTGCAGTTCTGGTGCTGGGAGGAAGTGCTGTGCCATGCAGCAACAGCCTCTTACATCAGCCCTACTGTTGACACGCTGGGATTGAGCAAGTGGGAGCCTCCGGGCCAGATGCACAGCACCGGCCCAGGGGGATTTGGGTGGGGGGAGCTGGAGGGCAGTAGGGACAGTCTGCTAGCCCAGGCCGGCCCGGCCCGGCCAAGCCCCTTGGCTCCACCTGGCAGGGCCTGGCACAGAGATTCTGCCAGGATGCCCTTGGCCCTGCCAGGACTGTTCCCCAGTCTAGGGGATGCTCAGCATCTTCCTGGGGCTGCTGGGCTGGGCAGGAAGGGGCAGTCCTAGTCCTCAGCACCACCCCCTTTGCCTCAAGCAGGGGCTGTGAGAGCCTGCCTAGGGCAGACTCGCAGCCCCGCCTGCCCGTTCTGCCCCACTGCTCTGCTCTGGCGGGGGCAGGGCCAGCTCCACGGCTCACACGCCAGAAAGGGGAAGTGGATGCAGAGGGGAAGTCTGCCCCCGCACTCCTGCGACAGCAGCCCCAGCTCCTGTGGCCAACGGCTCCACAACCCAGGCAGCTCAGGCCATGGAGGGGCCCGTGAAGGATGGGATCCTTTATGTCCAGCACTTCAAATTTGGAAAGGTAATGGGCAGGGCTGGGCTCCAGGCCTTGCTGGCCAGGGGAAGGGGCGTGTGGTCTCAGCACCACACCTGGGTGCCAGGGGAGGCAGCCGCAACCAGCAGTCCTGGTGCTCCTGACTGCTGTGGGTGCTGCCTGCGGCAGGCGCAAAGGGCAATAAAAGCTTTTACAGAGTGCAACGTGGTGCGTGTGAGTGGGGGGCAGATGCGGAAGCCCCTCGCCTTCCCTGGGGCTGAGCCCTGCTGCTCTGCCGTTGTCCCAGGATGGGTAGGGACCAGTGCTTGCCAGCAGCCCAAGTGGAATGGGGATGGTGACTGGGGCCCAGTCCCCTCATGTGGCTTGGGTTTGCAGCCAACTACCCCACAAGCACCACGGTCCCTACAGCCGTGGTCAGGCTCTGACCTTCACAGGCAGCAGCTGCAGGCGGGCTTTCAAGGCAAAGCCTCGATTGCCTCCTGTCCTAGAGGTGCCAGGTCCCCCAGCAACCTGCCCAGCCCAGCCCGGGTGCCCTTGCAGGGCACGGGAGAGAGGCTTCCTGCAAGCTGCAACCCTATCCCTCAAGTTGGAAACGGGTCCGGCCTAGGCTGGGTTGCAGCCCAGCTGGACCAGTGCCAGGCTGGGAGCACAGTGCCCATCTGGGCAGCCCCCATCTCCCAGCACAGGCAGAGCAGAGCAGGCAGGTGCAGCCCCCACATGGGGTGGGCAGTGCAGCCATGGCTGGCGGTGCTTCTGGGCCTGTCTGCCCTGTCTCCTCAGCCAACACGTGGGGACTGCAAGAGGAGGCTGCAGCTGCCCCGTGCCCTCACCTCGTGACCCGCTGGCTGCTGCAGAGCTTCCCCCGGGAGGAAGGGGTGGGTGGTGCTGGCGGGAGCGGGCCCATGTGTCAGGTGCAGGGCTGCTGTTGGTCGTGGGCGCAAACAGCCCTAAATGGCCTGATTTGCATAGGGCCTAGGCTGGAACAGCTGGTCCATCCCACCTGCCGGGCCCCAAGGGGCAGCACGAGGCTGGCCACAGCCTCCCGGCCCGGATGCCTGGGCTCTGTTCTAGGAGCTGCTGGGCCCAGAGGAAGGGCGTGAGACACCGGCGGGCTGAGCCTGTGGCCCTCAGGGCAGGCGCAGGCTCCAGCTTGAGCGGGTGCTGCAGGGGCAGGTTGCCTGCACGAGGGTCCCCTTTCCCTGCCTGTCGGTAGCTCCAAGCAGCATCCTACCAGCTCCATCCCTGGCCCAAGGGTGCTGAGCCCTGCTCATCTACCCACCCCCAGAGGTCCTGGAAGAAGGTGCGGGCGCAGCTGTTCGCGGCTGGCCCGTCAGGCGTGGCCCGCATGGAGCAGTTTGCGGTGCGGGACGGTTCGGGGCCCGAGAAGACATCGCTGCGCCGGGGCGAACGCCGGGTGCTCCGGCTGGCCGACTGTGTGTCCGTGGGGCCTGCCGGCAGCGAGGGCTGCCCCCGTGGCACGGCCGCCTTCTGCCTCCGCACCCTGGACAAGAGCCACGTGCTGGCGGCCGAGCAGCCTGACGAGTGGGTGGCGCAGCTCTGCCAACTGGCCTTCCAGGTATGGTGGACCCTGGCCAGGGGGTGGCACAGGTGGGCGGCTGCATCCAGCACCATGGAGTTGTGGGAGGCTCAGGCGGTGCTGCAGCCGATCTGCCCCCTCCCCAGCCCCTGGAGGTCCCGTGGTCGAGTCCGTGGACCTGCCCAAGCTCCACGTGTTCCCCACTCCAGCTCCCTGCAGCTCTGCTCCCCAGGCGGTGGACGCGGCTCACCTCTCTGCTTTTCAGGGCACAAAGGAGATGGCTCCAGGCAGCAACAGGGCCTCGCCCAGCTCTGGCCTCTGCATGGAGGAGAACACGATCTACTCGTCCTGGCACGCACGTAGGTGCGGGGGGCTGGTGCCTGCCCTGGCGCGTGGGTGGACACGCCTTACAGCCGGTGGGGGGTGGGCTGTCACGCCCTCGCAGGAGCCAGGGCTGCAGTGTCAACGTGGGCTCCGTTCCTCCGCCAGCGAACGAGTTCCCAGTACTGCTGCTCCGGACCGAGGCCTCCACCCGCTGCGGCCTGAGCGGGCGCTACCTGCTGGCCGTGCTGCCCGAGCGCCTGGTGCTGAAGGAGCTGCAGACGCGGCAGCTGTTGCTTGCCTGGCCCTACCCCTTCCTGCGCAAGTTCGGCCAGGACCAGGTACCTGCGTGGCTCCACAAGCCTGGCACCCCGTGCCCCACTCCTTCCCTGCAGTGTCGCGGGGGGAGGGAGGTCCTGGGGCCCTGGCCTTCCCTGCCCCTTACCCCCAGCTGCCCGCAGGCCATGCTGTCCTTCGAGGCCGGCCGCCGCTGCGACTCTGGTGAGGGCGTCTTCACCTTCAGCACGGGCCACGCTGCCGAGATCTGTGGTCTCATATCCGCTGCCATCGCCCGCCAGAGGAACCAGGAGCCCTGGCAGCACCCCGCCAGCGGCCCCGAGGGGGCACCATCAGCGTCCTGGGCCCTCGAGGATGGAGGGGCCGCGCCGCCCGCCTGGCTCCGGCCCGAGCACCCTCCGCCCCAGCCCTGCTCACGGGAGCCAGGGGCTCCAGACAGGGTGGACCACACCTTCCCCGTCATCTACGCCTCCATTGTCCGGGGCCTGCAGCCCCTGCCTGCTGGGGTCCAGCGGGAGCCGGAGCCGGAGCCGGGGGCCTGGGGCCAGCAGCCCTCCGAGCACCTGTACGAGAACCTGTGCGGCCTGGAGCCAGACTGCCCGGGGCGGGGCCTGGACCAGGCGGCCCCGAGCTGG